CACTTTCTCGATATATAAACGCCTTTCTATGCTACGAAGCACATTCCCGATAGATATGAAAAAAAAAAAACATTTACACAAATATTTAAAGACACACATTTATATATGTCTTTATATATATAAAGACACACACATATTTACATATATATATATATATATATATATATATATATATATATATATATATATATATATATATATACATACACACACATATATATATATATATATATATATATATATATATATATATAATAAATATTTATATATGCATATACACATTCTCTCTCTCTCTCTCTCTCTATATATATATATATATATATATATATATATATATATATATGTATGTATGTATATATTTATATATATATATACATATATTACACAAAAGAACCTGTGAGTGAGTGAAAAAACAGATCGAAATATGATTTTCTAACTTCTTGATCAATGTCGTCCATATTTACTTATATTTTACTCTAAAAAAAACGAAATACGTTTTATGTTAATGGAAGAATTGGAGAAGCTACCACAAGGGAACTACTCCTGATATGCTTAAAATAATTTCAAATTTAGGAAAGTAAACTTAAAATACAGGCCGAAACCAAGGGATTCAATGAAAAAATATCGATCTCCTAATAAAATGTGAATTGAATTTAACCGGAATAATTACAGGGAAGCTACACATGATAGGAGTAAAATAGAGCTAATTAGAATTTATCTTCCTAGATGATTTTTGGATAGGGTAAAAACTGAAATGTAAAAGATTCTTGGTTTATAAGCGTACAAATCGCAGAGAAATAAAAACAGAAAGTAAAAAAGAAATATTAATAAGAATAAGAAATTTACAAATAACACTAATCTACAGAAACCACCAGCACGAAGCAAATTCTCCGCCTCCCCAATCCACCGAAGAAAAACATGAAGAGGTTGAATGAACGAAAAAATAAATGTCAGAGTTACCACCCTTTGCTCTGATATTAAAGTTTGCTTACTATGCAGTTTGACGCCATTTTCTTTTTGTCGTATAATGGCTGCTGTTGCGTGTCGTAATCATATAGACGGTTTGGAACCAAGTTGGCAGGGGTCCTTATTTTTATTGTATGTTTCCTTTATTTATATATACTTTATGTTTAGTAATTGTGTGTATGTGTGTGTATTATAAGTAGTGTAGTATGGTAAATAAAGAGACAGTCCTAGAGTAAATTTCAGCTATTTTTTCTTATGTGTTTTGGATCTCTATATATGGCATCCAACGCGCTACTGGCCTGTTTTTTTTTTCAATTGTTACAATAAATAACACTTCTGAAAATATTGCATTTAATCACATCATCACAACTTGTAAACTCATGTTCTTTTCTGTGATCGGATTTATGGATAACTGTATTATCATTTTCAAGAATTACATCACCAGTTAACTCGATACTGAACAATTTTATTTGTAATACTAATATCTATATGACTAATAACAAAATTAAAAATAAATTGCTTTTTCGTCACTGATTTTACACATTTTATACGGTGAAATTATTAAAAGTGTTTGTAGATGAAGATGGGCTTACTTGAAATCGTAAATGTTATTGAAACAATTCCTACCTTCTGTGGCCAGGACAAGTATTATTCAAAACGACTTTAAAATGTATAAAAGATGAAGTTCTTTTTCCAGTTATTTTCACTAAACGATTTTTCTTATCATCATTTTATCTCTATCTCTCTCTCTCTCTATATATATATATATATATATATATATATATATATATATATATATAAAAGTAAAAATTTACCAGCCTGAATGTCCGAGAAATTTTCACAGAAAGTATTCGTCCTCCGACAGGAATCGAAACTTTATCCTATACGGAACCATCAAATAGCCTGACGTGACTTAACCGATTAAGCCACAGAGGATCGTTCAATTAGTAAGGTCGATTTTACTATGTTGAAACTAAAATATTACATGAATCTCTCACGTACATTCATACCTGCTCAAAGCGTATCCAAATGTAAACAAACGACGTCACACATTATGAATTGAACGATCCACTGTGACTCAATCAGTTAAGGCATATCAGACTATATGACGGTTTCGTATAGGATACAGGTTCGATTTATGATAAACAGAGCATTTACTTAAATATTTTACCTATAAAAGAATGTATTTACATAAAACAGCCTTAACATACATACATACATACATATATATATATATATATATATATATATATATATATATATATATATATATATATATTTGTGTGTGCGTGCATGTGTCTGTGTGCGTCTGGCCGTGTGCTCTGTCGTATTCGACGTATGAGGGCAGTTTCTAGGAAACAACAGCCCACACACCAATGAATTGATTAACGTAGTGAAGGTTTTGTGCAGAACCAAACACACAAGGTCCCCAAACAACCCCCACAGGTTTTGAATTGAAAGTTGTCCTTCTCTTAGGCCAGTTGCCATCCAAGGCTATAGAACACAGTCTGTTCTGCTAATTACCCATAGCTGGAGAGAGAAGAAGATGATTTATTGCTTTTCCAAGGGTACTACTAGTAGTTAAGTGAATGTAATGGATTCGACTGAATTCAAACTCGGCTTTCCGCCGCTACCCACTACTCCACCGTGCCTCCTCATATATATATATATATATATATATATATATATATATATATATATATATATATATATATATATATATATATATATATAATTCGGCAACATCATTTATACACTTTCCTGTATTAGATATTAAATTACGTTACTTAGCATATATATATATATATATATATATATATATATATATATACATACATATGCTAAGTAACGTAATTTCATATCTAATAAATGTAAGTGTGTGAATGATGTTGTCGAATATTTTATCCAATAAATATTTAAGCATAAGTGTATTTCTGAATGTGATTAAAATATATGGTGAAAACATATATTTTCACCATTTCTTTTAATCAGATCCAGAAATACACGTCACAATAATAATTATGAAGCAAGTATATTCAAAATAACTGTCACAACTGCTCTTCCCAGTAAATTTGGGAAACTTGCCTATATTTAAAAAATAGGTTATCTATAAACACAAAAAAAAGCCTATAAACAACGTTTCATCAGATGCCCTTGTTGTACATAGAAATAAATTCAACCACAAATTTAATCTAAAAATGCCAAAAGAGAAAGTCTAAAAATTTCCGATAGTGCCACTATCAAATCTTGTCACCATACAAATTTGCACCTCGGATTTATCAAAATATCACATTTCCGGAAAGAATTACTTTATCCAAAGCCAACATACATGACTATAAACATTTTAAAAAATAAATTAAAATAATTAAATATAAAACCTGTTATTATTTTTTTTTAAAAATATATAATGCATAAATATATCACATGATAAAATCATTTAAATAAGGCTTGCATAAAAAAATAGTCAGCAAAATCATTTACTCACTTTCGTTAATTAGGCATAAATTAAAAAAAAAATTAAATTTAAAAGTCGCTCAGAAATATTCATCAGATTAACTTTAAAGTTAATCTGATGAATATTTCTGAGCGTCTTTTAAATTTAATTTTTTGTTTAAATTATCAACAATTGTAATTTTGTTTATAAATACTTGTTGCTATATAAATCCCTCACATTCGTGTCAGTTAATTTGGTTTTTTTTATATATACATTGTTAGGCTACATTATATAATGAAATGAAGTGGGGGGATTTAATGCTATCAAGAGACGTAAATTTTCAATTTGTTGTTCGAAACTTGTCGCCCAGGAACTTGCATTTATGCTGTGATTTGTGAAAGAATGCACAGATACTCCTCTCGTGTGGTTCATTATGTAGTCATCTGTCCATTGTTTTTTGTTTTTTTTTTGTCGATATTTCTGAGATGAGGTATTATGTACACTATTTACATTATTCGAACTATTGTCCTCATCTTTGTCGCCATGTTTATCACAACGTTTCCTCAAGGACACATGGCAGAGTGGATAAAGACATTAGTTAGTTCCAGCGTCAGGACGCAAACAGTGTCAGTTCAATACCTGGATTATAGCAGGGAAGAACTTTCAGAGGAGATTTAACAGGAAATAACTGACATCCATTAGACATGGCACGTGGAACTAGAACAGTCTACCCTAAAGAGCGGAATAACGGGTTCAGTTGGACATTCTAACCACCTGAAGTAGGCCGGTGCGTACAAAGGCTGAAACGTTGTAATAAATATGACAACAAAGACGAGGATAATAGTCTGGGTAATGTAAATAGTGTTTTGTTTTGTTTTTTTTCTCCCACACATGCACATATCCGGCGTCGGTATCCCCAAAGACAAAAGGTAATTCGTGGATTTACACTTCAACTTAAGCCATCTCATAACAATATCCCTAGCTTCATCGTTTTAAGTGAATTTGAGGATAACAATATCCCGACGAGAAAGAATGGGACAACGCGAAAAAATATTTTAAGTAACAACATGATTCGCCAAAGTGTATTAATTTCTTTAGGGTGGATTGAATGAAAACAACTGTTTGAAGGAAAATGCTGCTGAGGAAAAGTGAAACAAATTAACTTCCAGATCTGACAGAGATCAGTATTTATTTATTTTTTAACCATATATTAGAACAGTTGGTGACTGTTAGATTGTAAATCAGCCCACTCAAAGTAGATCTTTATTTTGTTTTCTCTACACTAGTTCAGATACTGCAATGTGGTACTATTGCCTTTGGGATGATTGGTGGTATTATATATAAATCTACAATAAATCTACAATAAATCTTTAAAGCTTTAAATCATTTGTATGAATTGGATTTATTTTTCATGGCTTAACAGAGTTTTGTGGAATATAGAAAGCCAAAATATATATTTTAGTTTGTAAGAACAATTCCTGTTTTGCAAGTGAAAACTGAATTAAACATTTAGAAGAAAATATGATTTTAAAATAAAAACACTATGCAGCTGACAACATGTGAAGTATGTATGTATCTATCTATCTATCTATCTATCTATCTATATATATATATATATATATATATATATATATATAGATAGATAGATAGATAGATAGATAGATAGATAGATAGATAGATAGATAGATAGAGAGATAGATAGATAGAGAGATAGATATTCTTGATACATTGTCATACTCTTTTTAATTCATAGCTCTAAGTACATTGAGTACTGTTTGAACTATAAATTAAATTAAATACAGTTCCTAATATCTCGTTATTTAGTTTATATTCACTCATAAACCCAAGCTTCAAACAATGACTATCAACATCAATATCCGCTTACATTATATATATATATATATATATATATATATATATATATATATATATATATATATATATATAAAGTATATATATATATATATATATATATGAAAGTTGAGGCGCCAGTTTGTTTCAAGCTAAAGGCAATAGGCAGGTCATAAATCATAAATAGATACTCTTCATATAATGTCAGCTGCATAGTGTTTTTATTCTAAAATATAAAATCGCATTTTATTTTATTTTATACCATGCCTTTGCATATCTCAGTTTTTAATTCTCCTTGATAACTCTCCAAGGTTTTCTTCACTCCGCAGAGGCTAGGGATCACACCTATTTTTTTTCCAGAGCTCATATTACATTTTTTTACACCCTATTTGTTAATTTTATTTTCTCTTGCCCTCTGTATTACTGTTTTTCATATTGTATTCATTTGTTCACTTGTTCAGCTTTGGAGAGATTTGTAGCCCTCATTAGTGCACTAAAGGACACTTAGCACAGTGGATAAAAGCGTTGAATTATTGAAGAATGTCACAGCAAACATGATTTTATTTTCCTTTTTAAGTAATTTATCGAGTCTAGAAGAAACCTCAACAGAATGCAGAAAGCACTGGACGGCCGTTTCGTCCTATATCTGGGACTCAGCAACAGTGCGCATCCACTACCGAGAATTGAAACCCGGACAGTTACGTTATCAGGCAAACATCATAGAAAATTTATCCACGGGCCTCGGTTACGATCAGGTAGCTAATTAGACTCGATATAGCGCCGCTGGATAACATATTCCGTGGTGGAAATTATCCGAGTTTCTCCTTACCCATAGGACTGTGCACACACGAGCCACGAATACTATCACCAAGCCGCTCCATTCAGAGCATTTAATGCCGGTTCAAGCAAGGATACACACACACACACACACATATATATATGTGTGTGTGTGTGTGTGTGTACATGTCTGTGTAAACACTGGATATATAAAGTGACGTTCCAGTTAGCCTCAATAAAACATTTAATAGTTTCACCCTTCTCCAGTTGTAATAACTGGCTTCGCCCGAAAACGTCGGTAATGTAGTTGTGTCTGAGAACATATGGCAGTTTGGTTATGGAAAAACTCTGACGTATGCATTTCAAACCGTTTAAGCAGAGAATGAACACAACATCCAAATTTCTCAATTGCTGTAGAATTGTGCTTGGTAAACGGATGCATGTTATATATATCAGTGATACACGAAAACTTCGGTATGTGAAAGCTGATTGATGAAAGCTATTAAAATCGACTAACGAAGATAATAGCAAAGAAATTGATGGAATGATTCCATAATATCATATCATATTTCACCGCTTGATCTGTGCAACCAATCAATCAAATCATTTTATAAAATACACTGAAATCCATCTGATTTTGCAGTCATCGATCTGCAAATATACACCCATTGACATAAAAAGCATCGTTTAAAGTGAAAGTCAGACGCATCGTAACTGGGTCAAACGAGTCAATTTATCAGGTCATCAGAACAGACAGTCGATGTTGTGAGCGGAGATCATATGAGACACTGAATCCATCTTGTCATCAAGGTGCGGTAAATACGATTGTTGTATATTTACGGGATAAGCGCTCTTTATCTCTCTCTCTCTCTCTCTCTCTCTCTCTCTCTCTCTTCTCTCTCTCTCTCTCTCTATATATATATATATATATATATATATATATATATATACATACATATCACATTAAGTGTTGGTGCTAATAAATATGGCTTGATGCAATATAACAGGGCTATCGATTAAATATTTATAAACATGATTTTTCTTTCCTCATTGGTATCACGATGCTAACGTACTAACGGTGAAGAAAATATATGTTACTGAATATATATATATATATATATATATATATATATATATATATATATATTATGAAATGGAATAAGCCCGAAAATTAATTATTATTGTTGGTAAATTTAATTAATAGTGTCTATTATAAACTGAGCATTTGCATATAAATAATTGTATCTTGTAAAATAACGTAAAAACAGAATATAGTGTGTCTGAAAATTTAATTTTTTTAATTTTTCCGAATTTTTTATTGTTCAAAACGCAGAAACACAGACACACATTGATGCTCAAAAACTAAGTGAAGCCTTAAGATAATATTCAAAAAATTATATCATTTTTTCCAGATAGGGTCATTCTTATTTAAAGAATTAGAACCATTTTTTAAAAAAAAATATCAAGCTGGAATTATGATATTAATTAACAATATAAGAAGTGAGCGTCAGTTTTTGAACATTATTCTTGGTAAAATTCCCACAATTTCTCGATATAACCTAGAATTCTTGCTTGTAGTATTTTCTTTAACCTGAAAGACAAATTTTCGATTGAATTTAGATCAGGTCTTTGACTAGGTCGTTATAAAAAGATTCAAATGTGAAATTGTATAAAAACTAAATCAAAGTACTTTGTCTGTCGTATCCAATAAAGTGTGCATGAAAGAATGATTGTTGCTTAAATGCTCATATATATATATATATATATATATATATATATATATATATATATATATATATATATATATGTATCGACCTTGATAAATTGTCGGCACATCCAGAAGTGTTAATCTTTTAATCTCTTACGAAATTACAGTAGAAGACTTGCTGAGATACTCCATGTTTAACCGCTGATTGCCGCCAGACGTGCGTCCGTCTAACAAAAGTGACGTCTGATGTCGGACGGTCTACGCTTCATCTTTCGTTTCTCTCACTTATTTTCTTTTCTTTTTTTTTTGTTTGTTTTTGTTTGCAGATTTTATGATATTCTGCCCTTGTCCATCCGCCCACGAATTTTATTTAATAAATCAACGAGTTTGTCCCTGTAACTTTATTTTCTATTTCTAAATTGTCTATCTTATTTGAGATTATTTATTTCTTTGCACGCTAAAGAGATACATACACACACACACACGCGCACACACACACACACACACACACACACACACATATATATACCTTTCTGAATTTTTCACTCTCTACATATTTCTCGAAACTCAGCAGTCACATTCTCACTCTCTCTCTCACTGTCTGTTTCGTAAACACATACACGCGCAATTTCATAAACTCACAAAGAATGTGTCTCGCTATTGTTAAATTACATTTTTTTCTTCGACCATCGGTTTTAAAATTATTTTAGGAAGTGTAATCTTTTAAAAACATTTATCACGGAATATTTTGCCGACTTCGGATTTCGCCCAAAACGAAAAATTGAGCACAATATATAGATTCTATGCTGTGAAAGAAACAATATTTCGTTTTCGGCAAATACGGTAGTGTACTCTCTCGATTAGTTTGTAACACATCTATTTATCATCTCTCAGTTGCGTCTCTGTCTTTGGGCAGAGTGCACGCAGGGGCGACTCCGTCAAAAGACAGAGTCACAACTAAGGAAAATTTTACTGAGAGGTGCCTAGAACTCGGTAAAAGCTGCCCGACACCACACCCTCTCATTGCCCCAGAGAGTGGGATAGGTTCTCTCACCCAGGCCAGCGCAAACGACGGTTGCGGGGTTTTGGGCAATTTTTGTTCCTAGCCCCGGAGTACGCTCTGGGGATCCACACATTAAACGAAGTGGGTGATGATTGGCGCGATTTTGTGCAAGGGCAGTGGTGTCTCGTATTAGATAAATACTATAACACATCTCTAACTGAAACTTCTGCTAGAAGACTTAATATGACGCCATTTTTTGCTACTAATACTAATATTACAATAATAATGATTTCATTGATGTTGATTAAGATTATGTTCATTCCAGAACTAAAAAGCACTCTTCACTGTTGCTACATCATCGTAAATGTAATTTGAGTAGAAATAATAATCAGTATAACATTGCAAATTCTTTCTATGTTAGAAATAAATGCAATTATTAAAATATCGCAGTTGTTAAGCTTGTTCTTTGATATATAATAAAATTTTGTCTAGAAATTAAAATGGAGATAACTATACAAAAATAAAAACTAAACCATTATTCTAACGTGTCAAAATCTTTCAGTTACATAAAGTAATATGGAGTTAAAAGGTTTCGTGTTGAGATTGTGTTCATATTTAAAAAATTAAAGGAGTATGCAAAAACATGGGTCTCTACTATGAACCGTTGATTCACCATTTCTTCTTTTATGTACAATGTCCCTTCAGGACGTAGGAGATCATGGCTCTCCACCTCCTCCTGAATATTGTCGTTCTCAATAATTTTTGTCTTTTTGTTATTTCTCCCAGACCCTATTCTTCCATCCACTTGCTTAAACCTGTTAATTATATGACGCGTTGCTTTCCCTTGTAACTCTTTCCATCTATCCGCCCTGTGAGTATCCGATTTTCCAAGCCCTCCTAAACTAAAATCAAGCAAGTACGGAAACGTAAATATTTGGGAAGTGTTCTAACAGAGGAGGGCAGGTGGGACGCTGAAATCTGAAGATGTATCTGGATGGCCAAAGACGCATTCCAAAAGCTAGCCAGAGTATTACGAGACAGGAGGATTTCATTGGTAACAAAGAAAAGAGTACTGAGTTGCTGTGTGATATCTGTCCTCCTTTACGACAGCGAATGTTGAAGATGAAGAGACTCGAGGCAGTGGAGATATGGTTCTACAGAAGGATGCTAAGGATACCATAGACCGAATATGTAAGCAATAATGAGGCTTTGGAGAACATGCAAACAAGTATGAAGCTTATACTTAACATCAGGAAGAGGCAGTTGAAATTTCTGGGACACGTAATCGGAAATAAGGGTTAGAGAATCTGATACTCTCAAGGGGTTTAGAGTGAAGAAGAGATCAGGGAAAGCAACGCATGACATACCTAGCGTGCTTAA